TCTTTTTTTTTTTTTCGTTTCTCTTCTTGCCATTCTTTTCCATTTTTTTCTTTTCTTTTATATAAAAGCTATGAAATATCTTGGGTTCGAAGGATAGTGTTTTAAAATGAATGAAACAAAAGAAAGGTTCAAATTGGCTGACAATGGATAAGCAATCACATTAGGGTCAACTAAAAGGCCTTATGCTTTTATATAAATGCCAAAATCATCTTACCTATAATAAATGCAATGATGTAGTCTTGATTAAGAGGAAAAACAAGTTCTAGAGGGTGTAATAACTAAAGACATATCTCTCGTTGTTTGGAGGCTTTGGAGGCTTCTTCCATATTGGCTAATTTTGTTTTTATAATTAAATGCACACACTCTAATGTAAAAGCTTGCTTCATAAAGTACAAAAAATTAAGGCAATATCATCTTAAAAGTTTATATTCCAAATCCTAAAACATTTTTTTCAATTCCCTAAGATATATCAAAATAGAATTTTTATAAGTTTTCAAAAAAATTTAAAAAAAAAAAGAAAAAAGAAAACCAATTTTTATGACTCTCCCCCCACACACTTAACCATGTATTATTCTCAATGCATGCTTAATTATGTCCTAAGACACTAGTTTCATGAATGAATACATGAAAAGTGCAAGAGAAAATTTTTTGGGTGGAAATAGAATGCTAAAACTAAAAAGACCAAAGTCATGACTTTCTATAAATCTTGCAAATATCTCTCTAAAAACAGTGAACTTTTGTATTTTGAAGCAGCAAATCCACATAACCAATTCCCACGAAAATTTTATTAGAGATAGAAGAGACATACAGGAAAATGTTATAAAAATTTTAGCTCAGAATTCCATCCTAGTTGTTCAAGAATTTTTCACAAATTGATCCACAATTTCGGAGAAATAGAATTTTGTTTAGATGACCTTCCAAGCTTCCAACAAATTTTTTAAAGGGATAAAGAATGAAAATGTCAAACATAAAGAAATAAAGCCAAGACAATAAGAAAAAATGCTAAACTAGAACCAAACCAACTAAACATACAATATGAGAGATATGTTAACTCAAAATCACCTCAAGGCTTTGAAATCCTCAGTAAAGGCTTCCAGGACCTTGATAGCTTGTAGAAAATGCACAGAACAATCCTCATGTCCAAAATTAACCAAATCAATTTCAAATGAAACAAAGTCCAAGTTAAAACTCCTCCAAATTCGTTCTTAGTGAATTTTTGAATTTGGGGAACAGACACTATAATATGGTCACAACTTGACTAACTAAACTCACTAAAAATAATAACACAATTTATTTTCTAAAACTAAAGAAAATAAAGAAAGCAAAACTAAAATTCCTAAACTAAAGAGTTTAGTTGTACCTCCTCCACACTTATGTTTTAATAAGGATTACATAAAACACAAACACATGTAAGAAAAGTACTCCACATATGGGAAAAGTGGCAGCAAGCATATACCAAGTGCAACCACTTGTGTGCTATGTGTACAAGTAAACTATGTATCCACACCGAATATAACCTTTGAAGCTTGTCATGGTGGCTTGAAATTGTGCTTTTCCCAAATGCTTTTGTTAGAAATTGGCAAAGCTCTTCCTTTATCTAGTGTAAGATCACATAAAATGATCTTCCTTAAAGAATTACAAACAAGCTCTTCATGCATGTGTGGCAAACCTTGAAAATCTAAAGCATGAGCTTGTAAATTCCTTTCATTAGGTGGCATGGCCTTTTCCAATTCAAGTGAAAATCCTTCAAGTTCACCATTAATTTTGACCACATCCACATGTGCACGCACCTATAACATCAACAAAATACCTCTCTTCAAAGATGTGCAAGTGACTATAACATATACAATTGGATCCAAAGAAGTGCTATTCTTTTTAAAAACAAAGGAATCAATTTCTAAGCAAATAGCACATGGAGTAACATTTAAACAATAATAAGTGACTAGAGAGCTAGAATAAATATTTTGAAATAAAGCCAACTCATCATTAAATTCATCATTTAAACAATAATAAATGACTAGAGAGCTAGAATAAATATTTTGAAATAAAGCCAACTCATCATTAAATTCATCAAGATTAAAATTATTACCATTTATATTACCATTGAGCTTTGTACTATCATTTCCTCGAATTCTAACCTCTCTTTCATTTTGACCTATTTGCACTTCCTTATACATCCTCACTTCTCCATTTTCTTTTTCAATTGCTTTTCCTTGGATGAGATTAACACCAAACAATGAAGGTGGAATTTTTTTAAGATTTGAGCAAGTTTCTTCATCCACCAATCCATGCATCCTTACAGCCTCTCCTTGGTTTATGTCAATTTCCTTACTTGTATTGGTAGTTTCTAAGGCCGTTGTTTTGAATCCATCCTTATGCTTAGGAATTTAAAGAACATTGAGAGAAGAATGGTTGTCTACATCCTTGGCACTTACAAGACAAGAAAAAACACCTTCCTTACGCATAGACATCAAAGAAGATAAATCCAAATTATCCACATGAAACAATCTAAAGGAGAATCCTCATCAAGCAATCTAAAAGCAATTTCCCTACAAATCTCACATAAAACTCCATCAATACAAGAGCAATCAATATTACGGACAAAATTAGATGACAAAGTATCACATGAAAGTGACAAGGATAAAGCATGCTTATTTACTAAGTCATCAACAACACTTTCAATAACATTAAGACCTAGCAAATAATAGTCTTAATAGGGACGTTTTATTGCTTCATGGATATTAAAATAAACACTTTCATCCCCACACTTAACCACCAAAGTCCCTTTGTCCATATCAATGAGGGTCTTTGTGGTTCTCATGAATGGCTTTCGTAAAATGAGTATATCCTCCCTATTACCCTTGTTAGCTATATCCAAAACGTAAAAGTCAACCAAAAATAGAAGGTTTTTCACACTAACAATCAAATCCTCAACAATTTCTTGAGGTCTCCTAACACTTCTATCGGCCAATTGACAAATCATATTAGTAGCATGCAAATAATCAATATTCAATAAAGTATAAATGGAAGAAGGCATCACATTTATTAATGCACCTAAATCAATTAAAGTATGTGAAAACTTTAAGGGACCAATTTGGAAAAGGATTGTGAAGGATCTAGGATTCTCACACTTAATGAAAAGTTGGTGGTTCATAATAGCACTAATAGCAAGTGGCAATTGAACTCTAGCATTTGGTTTGAATTTTCTCTTATTTGTGCAACACTCTTTGAGAAATTAACATATTTAGGAATGTTCTTAATCAAATCAAGATGAGGTACATCAACTTGAGTTTTAGAGATGAAATTCATCACCTTTTGATCTTGTGGTGCTTGAGCTAGTGACCTAGATGCAAAAGGTAGCTTTTTCATAATTTCTTGGCTTTGGATAGCTCCTTCACCCTTCTTTTTCTCACTTAAATTATGGACAGTCACGCCCTCTTGATGTACAGTTACAGTAGGATTCTTTGCTTGATTTCCTTGATTCTCTTGCTCTTTTGGGTTCTTTTGAGGTAGAGGATTAACATAAACTTGTTCTATTCCTTCCTCATCTTTATCACTAAGAAATAGCACCATTAAATCAAAAGAATTAGGTGCTAGAATGAAATCTTCATAATTAAAATTCTCATGCACAAACTCATTTTTATCATTTTGACCAACTATTTTTCCACTTCTAAGCTCAATAGGAGCCTTTGGATTAACAACCATGTTACTAGGCAAAGTAGGTTGCTGAGTATTGGAAGAAGAAATACTATTAGTCAAAACACTCATTTGTTTTTACAAAGCATCAATAGTATTTTTCGTAGAAACCATATCATCATTTGTGGCTTTGTTTTGAGCTTGTTGAGCCTCTCTATCACTCTTTACTTAACAATTCAAAATTTTTGGACAGCATTAAATTGGAAAGATGAAAAGTCCCTTAATAGGTAAAAATTTAAAGCACTACCTTATCAATATTGCATAGACAAGTTTTGGTACCTTTAGTTTCCTCTTTCTTGGTGTTCTTGATTCAAAGCTCTACTTGGATTAGTATATGATAAGTTTGGATGATTCCTCTAAGTAGGATTGTATATGTTCCCATACATGCCTTGTTATCCTCCTTCGTGATTGTTTGTCTCATACATAGCATTCAATTCATGAGCATAATCATATTATAAGGGACAAGTAGCTTTACTATGCATTACATGGAACACTAACATTAAACACATTCCTCAAATTAGCACTTATGGTGAAATGATCTTTCTAATCCTATATGCAAGTCATCTAATTGTCAGCTACTCAAACAATTAGTAACCGAAGCTACGTTTAGCTCTTTCACCCCATATTGTGCTCTACTTTGTGACATTTTATCAATCAATTCCTAAGCTTTATTGGGAGACAAATTACTAAGGGAACCATTAGAGGTGGCATTAACGCTCATTTTATCTTTAGGCATAAGATCATCATAAAAATAAATATTGAATAAGGTGTTCACTTAGGATTTGATGATATGAACATTTAGATAGCATATATTGAAATTTATTCAAAATGTATAACGACTTTCATCAAAATTTTGAGCCGTGCTAATGATTTATTTTCTCAAACTTGCTAACTTAGATTATGGAAAGAATTTGTTCAAAAATATGTTTCTCAAATCCTCCCAACTGTGAACCTTGACATGTGGTGGAAAATTCATATACCACTCTTTAGTATGAGACCTAAGACAAAAGACAAATGCTCTAGCTTGAATATTATCTATATAAGCACTAACCAGTTTCATGGTATTGCAAACAAGATACAATAAATGCAAAAATCATCCTCAAAATGTTGAGATTTCCATCAAGCAACTTACTTCTCGATTTGTATATCCCTCAACAAGATATAATGATAAGCTTCTCTGAGCAAGCCATAAAACTTAGGCTACAATCTTCTCCGAGCAAGCCATATAATGTTTCATGTAATGCATAGTGAAGCTAATTGCCCCTATAATATGATTATGCTCATGAATTGAATGTTATGTATAGGATAAACAATCAAGGAGGAGGACAACAAGGCATGCATGAAAACACGTATAATCTTACTTGGAGGAATCATCCAAACTTGTCATATGCCAATCTAAGTGGAGCTTTGAATCAAGAACACCAAGAAGGAGGATACGGACAAGGTAGTGCTTTAAATTTTTACCAAAGCAAGGGTAATGATTCCTATATCCAACCTTCTAGTTCTTCTAGGAAAATTGTACCACCATCTTCTAATGCCAATTCAATGTTGTCTTAAAATTTTGACTTGTTACTCAATGAGTAAAAGAGTGATATAGAGGCCTAACAAGCTCAAAACAAAGCCATATTTTCATCCAAACAAAGCCAAAAATACCTCCTTTGATAGCACAGTTGTGGAAAAATGATGAAAATGAACTTGTGAATGAGAATTTTCAACCAAAAGGGCAAAAGAATCAAGGAAATCAAGCAAACAACATCGAGCTAAGAACCCTAATGTAATTGTACATTAAAGGGGCGTAACTGTCCAGAATCTAGGTGAAGGAGCTGTCCAAAGCCAAGAAATTGTGAAGAAGCTACCCTTCGCATCTAGGTCATTAGCTCAAGCACCATAAGATCAAGATGAATTTCTTCTGCAAAATTCAAGTTAATGTACCTCATCCTATACCTCATCTTAATTTGATTAAGAACATTCCTAAATATGCTAAATCTCTTAAGGAGTGTTGCACAAGTAAGAGAAAATTCAAACCAAATAGAGTTCAATTGCTACCCACTATTAGTGCTATCATGAAACCTTAACTTTCCATTAAGAGTAAGGATCCCAAATGCTTCACAATCCCTTATCAAATTGGTCATTTAAAGTTCTCACATGCTTTAATTGATTTAGTTGCAGCAATAAATGTGATGCCTTCATTAAACATTGATTGTTTACATGCGTTAATTGGTTGATAGAAGTGTTAGGAGACCTCAAGGAATTGTTAATGTGATGCCTTCTTCCATTCATGCTTGATTTCTAGCAAGGGTAATGGGAAGAATATACTCATTTTGGAAAAGCCATTCATGTTTTAATATGTATGAAGCAATGAAACATCTTTGAGAGCTTTGCTAGGTCTTAATGTTATTAAGAGTGTTGTTGATGGTTCAGTAGGTAAGCATGATTTATCTTCACCTCTTTCATATGATACTTTGTCATCTAATTTTATGCTAGTAATGGAGTTTCATGTGATTTGAAATTGCTTTTAGATTTCTTGATGAGGATTCTCCTTTAGATTTGTCTCTTGTGGATGATTTGGGTTTATCTTCTTTGATGTCTATGCATGAGGAAGGTTTTTCTTCTCTTGATGACAAAGTATAGTCTTCATGTGTTACTTTATCATTTAGTTTAGTCTTCAAGTATAGTCTTCAAGGAGTTTCTTCTCCTTTAGTTTCATGTGTTACCATTTGTATTTATCAAGGGTGTAGGCAACCATTCTTCTCTTGATGTTCTTTGAATTTCCAAGCATAAGGATAGAAGCCTATCAAAACAATAGCCTTAGAAACTACCAAGACATAAAAACCAAGGAGAGGCTGTGATGGATTGGTGGATGAAGCAACTTATCTAAAAAAAATTTCAGCTCCATTGTTTGGTGTCAATCTCATTTGAGGCAAAGCAATTGAAGAAGAAAAGGTGAAGCGAGGATGTGAGTATGTACAAGGAAGTGCAAATAGCTCAAAGCAAAATAGAGGTTGAAATTCAAGGAAATGATGGTACAAATTTTGTTTCAAAATACTTATTTTAGCTCTCTAGTCACTTGTTGTTTAAATGATGCTCCATGTTCTATTTTCTTAGAAATTGATTCCTTTATTTTTGAAAAGAATAGCATTTATTTGGATCCAATTGTGATTCCTTTATTTTGTTGATGTTATAGGTACGTGCACATGTGGTCGAAATTAATGGTGAACTTGGTGGATTTGCACTTGAACCATGCCATCTGATGAAAGGAATTTACAAGCTCATACTTTGCCACACATAAACCAAGAAGAGCTAGAAGAGATTGTTTGTGATTCTTTAAGTGAGATTATTTCATGTGATCTTGCACAAGATAAAGAAAGAGCTTTGCCAATTTCCAATATAAGCATTTGGGAGAAGCATAATTTCAAGCCTCCATGACAAATTTCTAATAAAAGCATTTGGGAGAAGCACAATTTCAAGCCCTCATGACAAGCTTCAAAGGTATATGCTTACTGTCGCTTTTTCTTACATGTGTTTGTGCTTTGTGTAATACTTTAGTTTAGGAATTTTAGTTTTGTTTTCTTTATTTTCTTTGATTTTAGAAAATAAATTGTGCTATTATTTTTGGTGAGTTTAGCCTATCAAGTTGTGACTATCTCTTTCCTAAATTCAAAAATTCACTAACGAGTTTGAAGGAGTTTTGACCTAGATTTTATTTCATTTAAAAGATGCACTTTTTATTTCATATATTGACCTGGATTTGGTCAATTTTGGACTTGAGGGATTGTTACTGTACATTTCCTACAAGCGATCAAGGTCCTGGGAGCCTTTACTGGGGATTCCAAAACCTTGAGGCAATTTTGAGTCAACATATCTCTCATACTATGTGTCCAAGTTGTTTGATTCTAGTTTCATATTTTTCCTTATTGTCTTGGCTTTATTTCTTGTGTTTAGCATTTTCATTGATTTTGTTGGAAGCTTAGAAGGTCATTTGGACGTGGATCAATTTGTGAAAAATCCTCGAACAACTAGGATGGAAATGGAATTTTTAAGCTAAAATTTTTATATCATTATCTTGTATACCTCTTTTCATGGGAATTGCTAATGTGGATTTGCTGCTACCAAACCAAAAATTTCACGATTTCCAGAGATATATTTGCAAGATTTCTATTTGGTCTTTTCAATTTTGGCATTCATTCATGGAACTAGTGTCTTAGGACATAATTGAGCATGCATTGAGGACAATGCATAGTTTAAGTGTGGGGAATTGGAAAATCTGCTTCTTTTGCTTTGTTTTGAATTTTTTTTGAAAACTTATAAAAATTCTATTTTGATTTATCTTAAAGAATTGAAAAAATTGTTTTGGGATTTGGAATATGAACTTTTGAGATGATGTTGCCCTAATTTTTTGTACTTTCTGAAGCCAATTTTTTATTAAAGTGTGTGCATTTAATTAGAAAAGTAAAATTAGCCAATATGGAGGAAGCCTCCAACTAATGAGAGATAAGTCTTTAGTTGTTACACCCTCTAGAATTTGTTTTTCTTACATCATTGCATTTGAGCTGACCCTAATGTAATTGATGATTTTGACATTCTTATAAAAAGTATAAGGCCTTTTAGTCGACCCCAAAGTGATTGATAATCTCTTATCAGCCAATTTAAACCTTTTTTTTTTGTTTCATTCATTTTAAAACACCATGCCTTTGTTTTTATTTTATGTGACTCTAATCCCTTGAACTAAAGACATTTCATTGCTTTTGTATAAGAGAAAAGAAAAAAATGAAAAAGAATGGCAACAAGAAAAAGGAAAAAAGAAATAAGAAGATATAGAAAGAAGAAAAGAAGAAAGAGCACAAGAAAGCAACAAAGTTGCTATGAAAAAAACAAAAAGGAAAAAAAAAGGAAAAATTAAAATAAATGAAGAAAAATAAAAGAATAAAAGAAAGGAAATGCAAAAGCAAAGTTCAAGCAAGAATGTGAGGGTTTTCTTGAGTTACAAGTTATTTTATTATTTTGTTTCTTGTTCCTTTATATCCCTCTCATTTTTATTATTCATTTGAGTTTATATCCACTTAGTTAAAGTTTGAAAATTTTGAATACTCTTGCATACTCACATTGTGTCAAAGATATAGTTTCTTGAGTCAAAACCCTACCCTTTCATATGCAAATTTAAGTACATCCTTATGATGGCCATAATCCATAATAAAGACCAATTAATTCTTGAGAATATATGCAAATTGGTAGTGGAAAGGTAGAGAAATTGCAAGCCTATGGTAAGATGCTTTGCTAATGTACATTGAGTAAAATGTTATATCCTTTCAAACACTCGAGTGGATTGAGAGCAAACACTATATCCTTATGAGATTTTATAATTTTAGAGGAATTATAAGCCTATGGTAGTATGCTTTGCTAATGTACATTGAGTGAAATGTTATACCCTTTCAAATATTTGAGTGGATTGAGAGCAAACACTTTATCTTTATGAGGCTCTATCTATAATTTTGCACCTCTTTTAGGGCAGCAATATCTTCTTTGTTTATATGAAAAATTTCATTGACTTTTGGTTTGATTTCTCTTGGCATTTAATTTTTGTTTCTTTCTTTGTTTTTTTTTTTGGTTTTAGAGAATTGTGAGATATGAGGTATTCTCTTAATTTTGATTTTTCTTGGAGTGTAAAAGATAAGTGTGGGGGAATCTTAATAGGTCATATTTGTTACACACTTTTCTTACGTATTCAGGACCATATTTTATGGTAAGAAATCCTAGAATATGCATTCTTGAAGTCAAAGCTTAGTGAAATTTAAGGAATTTTGATTATTTTGCTCTTTGTTAGGAATTTAAGGAAAAATTTAAAATTTTATGTGTGCAAAATAACTTAGTGAAATTTCATATTGTTATCTTAGGTGACACTTTGCATAGAAGAAACTTTGGTTCAAGACTTGACTAAGCATATAGAGAGCTTAGGCATGTGAATTCAAGCTTGCAATGGGCTCTTTGGCCATGAATTACAATGCTATAAGCGACACACATAAGGTTACCATACACTTGCACACAAGGGATTAAATTGATTTGTCAAAGCTCAAAATCATTGCAATGTAAATAAGAGGCTTAGAAGGAAAAATTTCAGATATGATTTTGAGCAAGTGGGTTGTGAATTCCAAGGGAAAACATGTTCATGCAAACATGAGATTAGTAAGAGCAACATTAGAATTATCATCTAAGTTCATCAAATTCTCTCACTTCTCTCTTTACACTTTCACATTTTGTCCTCTGTATCTCTCAATCTAACTATCTAAATCCCACAAAAATCACATCATTCTCTTCCTTTCATCTTCCTCTCCATAAAATAGAGCTTTCACAAGAATTAAGACTGGCTAGCTTGGGGCAATTTTAATGGGAAGAAGAGCCATGATCATGGAACTTCATCTTGATGATACAAGGCTAGGTTCTTGAAAGAGCTACTATGTGGAAGAAGGAACCTTGAGTTTGTATTATTTTCTAGCTAGATTTGAATTTCTCTCTCTACAATCACAAAATTGTATGACTTGTTGATTTTGTAATTTCAAATGATGATACATGTGATTAAGTGTTGCAACTTGAGTTTTATTTTCTCAAGCACTAATTTCGGCCTCTTTAAGGTTATATTGGTGTACCTTGATGAGTTTAATATATTTTCTTGCTTGTCATAATTTTGAGCATGTTGATTCCATTAAAGTGTACTTGACCTAATTGACTTATGTTTATAACATTTAGATTAAGCTTCTTACTATCAAAGCTTTGGCTTACTCTCATAATCTTAGATTAGAGTTAGTCAAAGTGGTAGCTAAGTCTTAGTTAATATAACTTAGTAACTAAAATCAAAGAGAAGATAGAGGAAACCAAATTGGCTAGATAGTAATCTTTCAAGAATAGGTGACCAAATCTATATAGGAGTTTCTACTTCTAATTATGTTTACACTCACCTACTTCATTCACTTTAGAATTATGCTTATTATCTCATTTAGTTTTGCGTTTAAATATGTCTCAACCATCCCCTAACTTATAGCATACTTAACTCAAGCTTGTCCAACTAAGCCTCCTCATAGAGATTGATGATGACTTCCTATTTTGTGTTAATTGAAATGTTTTTGGTTATATTTTGAGAGTCATCAATGAAAAAGAGAAATATTTTCTTGCTTTTATAAAGAAAAATTAACTCAGTGCCTCATATGAATTTATTGTAATATTTTTAAAGAAATTATTTAAAATAATGAAAATTGAAGTAAATAAATAGTGCACTCATATTTATTAAGTATGGATAGGTCGGGCATGATAACATCAAAGAAAGAAAGAGAAAAGAGGGAAGAAAAATGTGTTTTTCAATCCAAGACACAAAACAATTGCTCACTAGTGCTATGGCACGAGATGAAAATACAGAAATACACAGTTTCATTTTCTATGTAAAATTAACTTGCATAACTCATTTTTCTGGATTGGAAGAGGCGTATTTGAGCTGCTGCAACTTGAGAAAAACCTTAGGAGAGCAAGAGGAGAAATCTTGAAGCTTGGGATCAAGATGAAGCAAATATTTATTCTACCTCATTTTTTTTAGTGTTTTCTCTTCTTCTTTTCCTCTATACTGATAGTTTCGAATCTTTTATGTGCTGTTTTTGTGTTCATATAGCTATTTGTAGCTAAATCTTCTTATTCTAGAGGACTATAAACCTATTTATATAAATAACCTTGGATTTATCATTTAATTGTTGAAAAATAAAGTTTTGATTACTTGCTCTTGAGCTATATTATTCTTGTTTAGTGATTGGTTACTACTAGGTGAGATTTGAGTATTTGGATTGAACCTTAGAAGAGAAGACTCAAATTGAATCTTGAGAACTAGTAGCCTAGAATTAGTTCAACTAATTTGCTATTAGAACAAGTATGTATCTAATAAACCTAGGTAATCCTCATGGGTTAGGGTCTCTAATTCAATTAATTAATTAAGGTAATAATTTATTTTAATTGAATTAATTATGATCCTTTGTAATTGAAAGATACTTTGGATTAATTTAGATTTCTGGATTATCAAAAATGAATTTCAAGATAATTAATGTGATAATAAGAGGGTTAGGAAGTAAATTGGAGATTAGGACTCTAGAACACTCTTAGTTGATTTTAGTTATTTGTGGATTGGAAGTTATTTTAATTGATCACTTTTAATATTTTCATTTTAATTTTTCTAAAATCAATCTCTAGTTTTATTAGCTTAACATGAATAAATTTAAAAATTTAATGTTTAATCGCCATTTTAATTAATTCTTTGAAGGATTAACCTTACTCTATCACTAGCTTCAATTGTAACCCGTATACTTGCATTGTCTCTTAATTTTTTTGGGCATCAATCAACTTAGATTCACACTAGTACTATATTAGTGTAACTTAATATTATTTTGTTAAGGTAGTGACAACCCTAGTGAAAATTTTGACAAAACTTTTCTACCCTTTAGATGAAAATTCCTAATTTTACATGCTTAATTAAGCAAAAATGAACTGAAATAATCCGTAACTAAATTATGTAAATTCAAAATTTTGATATCCTCATCCCATTACTTTTAATCAACTTATATATTTAATTTCATGCCTCAATTAGTTATGATTACTCTATTCCCAATCTACCCAACGTTCCAAGAGACTCAACCATACATCTAGCTACCAACCTATAGGCTCAAAAATTGATTCGTTCAACACTAATTACGCATCTTAGGGTCATCTATTTCAATTTACTATCAATTCTCAAGCACTATCCAGAACAAAAATCTAACTTAACCAAGCTACAGCAGCGAATCAACAATTCTAGATCGAGAGTGTGTTTCAGAGAGCAAGGAGAAGGGAGGGAGAAGTACCTAGAATGTGAGAGGCTCACTCAAAGGCACCTTAGGACCCTTGGAGTGTTTTTGTCGCCTTCCACACTGTTTGACCACATAAGGAACGACACAAATGGCCTAGCGTTTCTGAAATTATTGCTTCTAATAAACGTTTTGTAGAATGACATTCTATTCTGGATTATACGCGGCAGAAGTATTCTTTCCACAACTCTTGCATGATCCTCCCATGTTTTAACTCTTTTTTACCCAAAACCACTCGTAATGGCCCTAAACTCAACCTTAACCCATCATATGGCTCAAAACTGATCCTAAGAGACTTCTCGAAGAGACAGAATGTTATAGTAAAGGCATCTCCACACAAACTCTTGCAACCTTGGACAAGTCTATAGTGTGCTCGAGCAATCTTGGTCAAGCCCATGCATGCTAGGACAACATCTGGCAAGGTTTAGGGAAGCACGTGACGCACTTCAGATGGCAAGGTCTGAGAAAATTAAAGAAAACAAGCATATTGGAGAAGAAGACAACAGAAGTTTGTAATCATACCATATTGGAGAACGAAGAGTAACTATACCATATGTCAAAAGACCACGTATACCTCAAATCTTCAACCACTGTACCAAGAGCATGGCCTTTCTTCCTGTGAGGCTATTATTTTGATTGATTTGACATGAAGTTTAGTTTTGAAAGTTTACATCTCCCAATTTTTTAAAATTTGAGATAGATTGATAAATTATTTGTTTAACTGGAGCGTGTGATCCAATGATGAAAATCAATGATAAATTATCAGAGACAACCAATTTCTAGCCAATCACATGAGCTCTACAAGATTTGTATAATAAAGTTGATTGATTGATAGTCCCCATAGACGGTTAATATATTGTTTCAAATAATAAATGCCATTGGCATGCTGCCTTTCCCAAACAACAAAAGGGCTTAATGTTCCATATAGATGTATAAGGATTTGAATTTAGATTTAGATTTGAATAAAATTTTTTATTTGGATATATGAAAGTTTATGGATCTAAATTTGATCATAACTTTTAGATCTCTATTTTATTATAACTCATTTGTAATTCCAATTCCCTCTAAACTTTATTTGTTTGAAATTTCAACTACTCCAACTTTCATTTTTTTTTTCACGTTCTCACAATCAATATCTCCGTTACTCTTGCCTCTTCTTTCATCTCTCATCATGATAGACCACACATAGAGCATGACCCATGTAAGGAGAAAGAGGACGTGCTTAAGGCTCAAGAGGAGCTAGTAGACGTGCTAAGCCTAAAGGAATTCCAAGAGTTCAAATCTATTGTGTACAAGAATCTGTTGCAAAGCATAGGAGGCCCAATAACTAGAGCTTGGACCAAATCTATAAAGGAGGCCCTAATTGGTCTCATTAAAGAGGTCTAAGAGCTTGAGCTCATGTTCTTTAATGAGCTTCATACGTCTACCACACCCAAGTAAGAATGGCCACACTTGCCTAACATCTTAAAGGTTCAAGTCCATGAAGATATAGACCTAATTGGTGAAGACCCAAGCCTATTTAATTCACCAGGTGTTAATTAAGGTTGGGGGATATTTTGGTCAAGAAGGGAATGTCATTTATGATCAAATTTGAAGAGGGAAAAGGTGCCATTAATGATCATAAATGAAGAGAAGAAGGAATGATCTCCATCATCTTTAAGCCTTCGATGTGAATTTTAATCGTTTCTTACTTTAGCTTAAGTTTGAATTTTAAGACTTAATTTTGTTTCTTTTTTATTTTCAACTTTAATGCTGATTTCTTTTCATTATTATGGCTTTTATTAAGTGATGTGACTTAGAGAGAAAGACTTTAGTTGTTAGGAAAGTTTTTGAATCTAACCATTATTGCTAAATCTCCAAGAAATAAGGAATCTTCCTATTTTGTCAAGAGGTGGTGCCATTTTGGAGGGTGTCATCTAAGGTTAGGGATTCTAGAGTCTTTTATTCTCTTGCCTATAGATAAGCCTCCTTATGTACTCTTCTAACCAAGTTATGAATAGGACTTTTCTCTTTAGTTTAGTAAAACTCTTTGTGCGAGCTATGCTTGCTTGTGAGAATCTTAAGGTGGACACTAGCATTATCAAGAGTAGAACTCTTGTGATGTCTCGAAGGCTAAGGTTGCTAGAAGTAAGTGTTCTAATTATCCTTTTCCTTGATCCTATCTTTCTTTATCATTTCATTTATCTTTACTTTCATCCCTTATCTTCATCTCTAAATTTCTTTGTTTCATTCTTATTTCTTTTATGCATATTTCAAGTTCTATCTCAAACTAGTACGATCCCGCTTCTGCCCTTGTATCACATCAATTAAAGAATAGAGATAAACTCGTTTCTCTTCCATTATTAAAACCTTTTACCCTATCCAAAAGAAAATTTTAAATACATGAATTTTAAATGTGAGATTTTAAATTTTAAATTTTAAATCTAAAATTCAAATTCAAATCTAAATTTTTTAACATTAGTCAATCTTTAAAAAGGATAAAAATGCCTTTATATAACTCACAACATAACTCTATTACTAACATTTTGACTTTTACAACTAAACCAAAGGTAGTGTTTAGATCAATAAATTTTAATTTCAATTTTAGATTTAAAATATCCATTTAAAATTCATGAATTTAAAATAATTTATTTGGATAACGTAAATTTATTTATAAAGGTAGAAGATAAACAAGCTAATATTTGAATCAAAAAATGAAGATCGGTAGTGACGATCTCACCTCTATTTTTCAATTATGAGAGATGAGGACAAGAGATAAGAGAAGAGGCAAGAGTAACAAGAAAGTTGAAGTAGTTAAAATTTCAAATAATTAAAATCTAAAAGAAATATGAAATTATAAAGAAATTATAATAAAATATAAATTTGAATTTGAATCAAAATTTAAATCTATGGACTTTTATGTATCAAAATAGGGGGATTTGGTTCAAAATCCAAATCCCCATGCTTTAAAAGCAAATTAAAAAGTAAGTTTCGGTATTTTATTAAACTTTTACAATTTACAACATTTTGACAACTAATTTTTTGAAATTTAAAATTAAGTTTAAAATATTTTCATTTTAAGGGAATTAAATGAATTTTGATGATATTCTCAGTAAGTCAAAAATTCAATTCAATTTAATTCATATAATTAATTTCATTAATAGTATTGAAGAACATTTAATTAGTAATAAATCGTGGCAATTAATTAATTTCCCTCGCCAAACTTTACTCGCTCTTCCATTGAATACTTTGCATTTAATATTTAATTAATACTATTTATATATATTACTCACTCTATTCAATATTATAAGACCTTTTTTAAAAAGCATAATATTTAAAAATATAAGACATTTTGAATCTTTTAAAGTGGAATTAATGAAGTTTTTTTCTAAAACATCCTTAATTAAGAGTGTAATTAATATGATTTTATAAATAAGATACACTATTAAATAAGGATAAACGTGGGAAAATTCTATAATTTTAAGAGTAAATACATCAAAATCCCTTTTATTTTACATTAATTAGGATTTTAAAATTTTGCCTTCGGAGAATATATACATACATTTGAAGTAAATACCATCAATATGTTGACTTTTTCCAAATGACAGAATAATTAAATGTATTTTGAACATATTCTCATTAAGTCAAACATTCAATTCAATTAATATGATTAATTTTACAAATAGTATTGAAGAACATTTAATTAGTAATAAATTATGGCAGTCAATGAAACCCAATCCATTTGATTTCTCTCACCATCCTCTCCCTCTATTTAAGGGCTCACAAGCTCAAAGTATGAGTGCACAACCAAGTTCTTCCTCATAGCAATCAAAACAAACTTAGCATATCGATTTCAAGAGAGACATTATCACAAATAACATATAGTGAGATGGCCAGTACTAATTCTCGCTTCTTGGCTTTGAAATTTTGTGTGGTGATTGGTATTGCCATGTTATGCAACTTTTATAGTGTGTCGGCACAATGTGGAGGAACTCCTATTGGTGATCTGATGAGCCAATGCTTCCAGTTTGTCCAGCCACCCGGGCCTAAAGTTAAACCGTCGCCGGAATGCTGCTCGGCGATAAACGGCGCCGACGTTCCCTGCCTCTGCAAATTTGTCACAAAGGAGATTGAGAAAATGGTGAGCATGGAGAAAGTGGTATATGTTGCTAGGACTTGTGGAAAGGATATTCCAGCTGGAATGCAATGTGGAAGTAAGTCCCCTCTCTCTTTGTGAATATTTATTAAAAATCATTTTTATTATGCATTCTGATTTTTAAAATGTTAAAAGATCAAAATTTAAAAATAAAAATGCTAAATAATGTCTAAATTTAACATCATTTGATTCAAATTCTAAAGGTATTGTTTTGAAAATTTATATTCAAAATTAGAGTTAAATGCCAAATTAACCTCTAAATTATAAGTCTAGAAGCATTTGAGACCCTAAACTTAGTTTTTATGTAATGTTTGCCTTCAATATTTTAAAACAGTTCAATATAGCCTTTATTATTAACAAATGTTAATTTGAACTGTTGGTTGACTAAAAATTAGAGAAAATGGTCAAGAAAATTTACTTGATCATTTTCTATAACTTCCTGAGTCCTTGTCAACAATTTTTTTGGTTATTTTCTATAATTTTTCAATCAACTAATAATCAAAGTTAATTTTTCTTAACAATATAAGCGACATTGCACCGTTTTCAAATGTTAAGAAGAACATTATATCAAAAATAAATTTAAAATCCTAGATACTCATAAACCTATAGTTTAAGAATGAAATTTTCATTTAACCCTTAAAATTATTTTGAGAGATAACATAACAACATTTGTGGTTGTTTTGTCCCTTTGTATCTGTAATATATAGTTAGATTTTTTTATGTGAGAGATAATAACCGAAAGTTATTTAAATATAATTATCTTTCTTATACTTAAAGCCTATTAAAATATTTGGAAAAAAAAAATTACATGAAACTTGATAAAATATTTGGAAAAATGTAAGTAAAAGAATAAAAACGGTTGCACTGAGTTCAATAGAAGCTACATTGTTATAAATAGTATATTTTTATAATGTTTAATTTTTCATATTTATTGATATTAATATTGCTATCAATATTTTTTAAATTTATATATCTGTATGTGTGTTCGTATGTATGTGTATTTCTAATAGTGTCTAATAACTATTTCAGGTTATAAAGTTCCACCACCCAAGGCCTAAGCTGAGACAATATTCAAGGATCCATATACAGTGCATTATCTTTTTATACTTTTGTACTTTGTGGTTCAAGCAATATCTATTTCTTTTTACTGAAAGCGATACCTTTTTACTGAAAATATCATTATATATATATATATATATATTTCCTCCAACCCTAATTACAGTGCAAAGTTAATTAATTCCATAGTTTCTAAGGAGTGATATTGTTCCCTTAAATTTATAAAAAAATGTCTAACTTTTTAATTTCACACTTCATTGAAATTAATGACCATAATAAAGTGTTACATATAAATTAAAAGCATGTTAACAACTTGTTGCAATTAAAGAAATGTAAGGTTGAGGGGGAAAAAAAAAACTAAACAACCACTATCTTTGTCTTATTTTTAAGACCAAATAATATGATTTTAAAATTTTATCTTATAATTAAGATGGATGATCGTATATATCTATATTTGAAGTAAATACTAAATAGTAAATACCATCGATGTGTTGACTTTTCTCAAATAACAGGATAGATTAAATGTATTTTCACTTTTTTGAATATATTCTCATTGAGTCAAATATTTAATTCAATTGATATAATTAATTTCACCAATAGCATTGAAGAACATTTAATTAGTAATAACTTATGGCAATTAAAGAAACCAAATTCGTTTAATTTCCCTCACCATCCTCTTCCTCTGTTAAAAATTCAGGTGAGAGACATTATGAGTGTACAAACAATCTTAGTCGTAGCAGTCAAACCAAACTTAGTGTATCAATTTCAAGTGAGACATTATCATAAATACATATATAGTGAGATGGCCAGTGTTAACTCTCATCACTTCTTAGCTTTGACATTTTGTGTGCGTGGTGATTGGCATTACAATGTTTCGTTGTTTTTTGCAACTTTTATAGTGCCACGGCATATTGCAAAGGTAACAGCTGCTCCTAACAAACAATTGCATGTAATGCTCTACGTTTACAAATCTATAAAACTTAACTTGATCATGTTAATTAAAAAATTATCTACCATGATAATTAAAAAGATAATAATCTCTTTTAAATCATTACCATGATAGAAAATAATCTACCATAATAGAAAAGAATGAAACCAATTTTTATAAAGTATTATTTATAACATCCTGAATTTTTGGTTTAGAAGCTCAAGAATATGCCAAAATTCAGTAAGCTACCAAGTGCAAGGAATTAAAAGTCTTTCTTAGGCAAAAGCGTAATATTTTTACAGACTTTAAGAAAGTGTTCAGAACTAAGAAATGAGCAAGTTGAAGTCCAGAAATATCCAGGATAAGCTAAAAAGAAATAAATAAGGTCTAAAAGGGCAACAAAGATATCTAAGATTAGTCTTGGAGAATAATCAGTAAAGATGCCGAATTAAATAGAAATAGTATTATTTGACAATTTTATCCTTATATCCTAAATCTTTTAGAGAAGAATCACAATTAGATTTTAAGGATCATAATAGATCCACAAAGGGCTCAGTGAGATCGCAGTTAGATCTCATTGTCGTAATAGGCCTAGTAGAAATTTACTAAGCCAGAGCATATGCAACAGTTCTCTAAAAAGACGATGGTTTAGGATGAGTTTAAAATACCAAGACCTTTTAAATTTGGCTAACTATTACACAGAGAGTGTCTTTGATTTTTTTTTAGATAGTTCAACTACTAACTAAACTAAAAAAAGGAAAGAGAAGAAAAACAAGTAAGAGTAATAGCCTATCTAGAGCCAAATAGTAACTATTAATGTTCAAAATTAATAAACGAGTAAGAGTAATAGTCTATCTAGAGCCAAATAGTAACTATTAATGTTCAAAATTAATTATATATAATTAAATATAATGAGAGTATGAATAGGTACCTAGATTTAAAAATAAACAAGAATGAACGTTAACCCTGAAATATCACACTCAATTGGGGTTAAAGTATAATTTCTTAGAGTTTTGAGTCTTTAAGTGTAATTATAGAAAATTACCCAAAATTTATGAAGAATTAAAGGAAATCAATTTATAAAAAAGAATAAATATTTGGATGAATTATGCCAATTTTATTGGTTAAGAATTGCTCAAAAGAATTACTATACAATTTAAATTGCATTAAGTTAAGATAATACCAATTTTTGCTATGTCTAAAAGTTAACTTTAGCAAAAGCCCATTTTGAGCCCATTTGGAGGGAGTAGTGACATCAAGTTGGATCTGAAATGGAAGAAGAAGCAGACAATTACATGGTCCAAAATTAATCGAAATATTAGTTAGAATAAAAACGGTAAATTAGATATTTTAGAATCCAAATATTATCAAAATTGGTTCAATCTTCCACCGAAAAACGACCACACCCATTGCTTCTTCCATGGATTCACATGAGAGGTTTAGAGAGAGAAAAGGAAAATCATCCAAAATCACCATTAAAACTACATTTCTATCTCAAAGTCTCTTCACAAAAGTTGTTCCTCTCATCAAGAGGAACATTTCTATGATTTTAGTTTTTCAAGAGGATGAGCTTGGAGATGGCATAGATGGAGGAAGTAGTGAAGAAGGAAGAATAAGTTAGTGTATTGAGAAGAGGTATGGAAGAGCTTCTTTTTGAACTATTTTTCATAATTTTTGTTTGAGTTTTCATGATTATGAGATGCTGCCCTGTTTTTTCAAAGGTAATAAGGGTTGATATTTTGATGATTAAATGATAGGAAAGGGCTTAGAAATGGTCATAGAAATGTTACTTATTGATTATTAGTGAATGGTAGCTTGATTTCAAGTTTGATGCAATCTTTGGATGGCCAATTTTCAAGGAGAAATGCTGCCCAATTTTCCAAAGAATTAAGCAATGATTAGTTAAGCATTTAAGTTTATGAAATATGATTTAAAATCTAGCCTTGAGACACATATATATGAAGCATAAAAATAGCTTGGAAGAAACCATAATTTAAGGTCTCAAAGACCCATAGTTACTGTCAAGAATGGTTCAAAGGGAAAGAGTTAGAATTGGTCAAATTTGAGTTTACAAATGAGTTTACAAAATGTTAGTACAAGAATTTTATGTCAAAGGAAAAATAAAGTGAAAAATTAAGATAATGAAAGTAAGAATTAAAAAAAAAAGAATAAGTTGTCATTTATTGACAATGTGATTATTGGCTCTAACAATTGTCATAAATATTCTATGGCAAATATTTAGAGTCAATGAGTGTTGTGGAAAAGGAATTGAAGGTTTGGTCATGGAGGATCAAATGAAAGCAAGGAAAACAAAGAAGAAATAGTAAAGTCAAAAGGTAGCAAACTTACCCTTTATTACATACTTGGTATTTATGCTTGTATTATGATATGTATGATTAGTTTCTTTGATTCTATGAATCATAAATGAATGTTTGAAACTCTATTTTTAAGTGTTTCATGGTCCAATGTATGATGTATGAGCATGTAACATGTCAATATGTTAGTTATGAAGTCATGTAATGCAAGTATGTCTTATGGATGAAACTTTTGCCTTATATGCTTGAATGGTATTGTCTACTACTGAGATTCTCTTGAATCTCACCCCCATTGACTAACCATGTTAGGTTATAAGCCTTCAAAGGAAGAGCTAGAGCAAGAAGTAAAGGTAAATAGATTAGGAAAAATAATTTTTCCTATGGCATTACTTTGATAAAAATGAAAAATGTATAAATAAGCCCATAAGCTATGTAAATTTATGATGAGGCTTTGGTATGTATAAGTGATATGTGTCGATGTATGATGGCCAATTTAGAGTCATAAACTAGCCTTGAAATCATGATTTTAATATGCATGATTGGGATTGTTCAGTTTAGGCTCTTTTTAGAGGAGGGTTACTGTTTTATTATTTAACATATACAACCCATATCCAATGATCATGATAATTTTTATGATGAAACTAGACACATAGAGATTTCTAAAGTCCTAAACCAGATCATTTGGGCATGTACAACTTGAGTTATGAATTTTTCAAGTTATGGCACAGATTCTGTCAAAGAAACAAAGCAAATTTGGAAAAATGAATAAATTGTGCCATTTGAAACCAAAAAAGGTTTAAAACATATTTTTATCACTTGAATGACTTTAATATATTTCAATAGAATTTTAGAGAATCCTCATATGAATTAGTTATCAATTTTTAAAGTTCAACAAAAGTTCTAAACTTATCAAATAAGCAGTAACCTGGCAAATAATTTGTGAATTTTAATTTATGGACTTTAATTTTTATTTTGCCTAAACCATATTACTCCCAATTGCATAAAGAAAGTTTTAAAAATTTGGATTCGACATTATTATGATATAAAATGATTTTTTTAAAACATAAAGAAAAAACTTTAGGTCAACTATCATGATAAAAAAAATGAACTTAGTAAAAGAAGACTACCATAGTTATTAAATAGAGGTTTACTAAATAAATCGAGAGAGTACAAACAGGATCTCGAAAATACATCAAAGCTTAACTTCCAAAATATTCCAAATAAATCCCAATTAATGTCAAAAAATGATGATCATGGGTAATTTGGTTCCAAATTTGTTTTTCATTTTTTTTACCAACTAGTCCCAAATATGTTTAGGAAGGGTTAAAAAAAAAGTCATAAGAATGCTGTTATACAATTGAAAATCCAGGGAAAAAAAACCATTTTTAGAAATTTCAACACATTCACCGTAGCCAATACATTTTCGCAGCAGCAGACAATACAAAAGCAACGTGCCATAATAGGTGCATTGTTGGCCATTGTGCTGTACACACACAGTCAAATTCTCCCTAGCACCATTTTAGTTTTTTGATTGTATGAACAGTAATTTCAATCTTTAAATATCCATTTGACCCCAAAAAAAAAATCTTTAAATATCCATAACTTTTTACATATACATCTAAATTAAGTTATTCAAGTGTTCAAATGAAGCTTATGATAAAAACTAGTTATTGGGTCTAGTTTGACACAAAAGTTCATCCATATGACAGTTATCTAGCAAAATCAAAATTTGATCATGAAACTACATATTCCTACCACT